CGGTTAGCGCAGATAGCCGTCGTGTAGCTTTGCGCGAAATTCATAACAAATCAAACCCTGCGGTGTACAAATCGCTGATAGCCCCTTGCGCTCAAACAAACATTGTTATGGAATATCATGTAGCTAACACGACAATGTTTTAAAGCACTACTTATCTTGCCACCTGAATATGTATTGAAAGTAGTAAAATATTATATGTAGCAAAAACTAATTATTTTAAATTCGAATAAAATACGTAATAAGATTTCACACAAATAAAAGATTTTCTGGACTTTCAAAACTTTTTGAGTTCTTAAGAAAAGGCTTGAAATTGAAAACACAAGAATTACAATTCTTCGTAAGAAATACAACATGTTATCCAAAAAGAATGATTTATTTGTTGGTAAGCGCCAAGCTTCACAAAGGGTTGTGCCAATCGCAGGGACTAAACCCCGAATTTTAGTGTTATGAGCTCTCAAGCTTACCGCTAAATCGCCGGTATTTATTAAAAGAATGAAAGCTGAACATGCAAAATGATAGAAATTCGAGATGAAGAATGAATTCTTCATGTAAACATTGTGAACATCTGATGTAATGATGCTGATATCAATTAACGATTAAGTTAGTAAGGATGATACATTATTGTCATGAATATACAGGGTGGTCCAAAATTATCTTACCTATTTTAATATTCAATACTTAAAGAACTAAGGAAATACAACCATGCAGTTTTCGATATCTTGTAGCGCAACTGAAGTAGTTTTTACTGTCTCACCGCTCTTCGAAGTAGTTTGTCACAGTAAAAATTGCGATGGAAAAAATAATCCAGAAGTAGAATAAAGTAAGAAACAATCTTCTTATAAAGTACGATTAATTCTCACTAATGATACGTGTTAATGTTGAAATGTTACCTTAAAATGGCTGGTAGCAAGCAATTATCTGCCCCATACTTCCCTATATCCATTGTTACTTGACTAGAGTATTCTGAAAAAAAGAAAGTTATTCTTCAAGTAAACATTGTGAACATCTGATGTAATGATGCTGATATCAATTAACGATTAAGTTGGTAAGGATGACATTATTGTCTCGATATTTCTAATAAGATCCACAATTTATTTAAAAGAGAGGAGTGGAAATACCATTAAAATATAGCAACTAAAGCTTAAATTCTTTAGTGAAAAAATGCTAAAGAATATATTTGAAAAAACAGTGGATTTTTTAAATACCCCGTACTTTTTATGTTGAGCGGGCTACTGTTTCGGTGTCTGTTTTCTAAGTTTTGGTGTAGGAAGTCTATAGAATATTTTATAATCGTTTTATGAATCTATGCAAGTCACGCTCTATGGAGCTGAGGTTCTATTTCTTCTACGGTTAAGAGTTCGTTACCGCGAAAAACAAAATTGCGCTCCGTACTTTGGGGCTGTTGGTTATAAACGTGAAGGTTAAATCCCACTATCTAGTCTGACAAGAGTAGTCCAACAGCTGACGGTGGTTGGTATTGACTAGTTTCCTTCCCTATCACCTAAAATTAGGGACGGCTAGAGCAGATAGGCTTCTTTTGTTTGTAAATAAGCACAAATCTACAGAATGCGCTATCTGTGCTCTGCCCACCACTGGTATCGAAACACGGATTCTAGCGTTGTAAGTCCGCAGACATACCGCGATGCCACTGGGGAGTGATAGGTTTCGAGTAGCTTTACGTGAAATTTAACAAACAAACAGTGTTGTGAGCAGAAAAAAACGATTATTTGAAGTCAGAATAAAATAACATAAAATTCGCTGTAAAAAAAAAGCATTGAATAAATCGGCTGTTGTTTGTCATGTGATATACGAAGATCAAAGTAGTAATTAGACTGGTGTTAAATCATTGCATAGCCAAGCAACCACAAACAAGGAAATATGTGTGAATAAACAGAAATATGAAATACTTTTTGTACAAATATTTGTCAACAGAGAGAAAATTCTTGTTGCATATACCATAACAAGGATATATATTTTTCCAAAAATAACCTATATTTCTTCATATGCCATTAAAGTAATTGAATACAATACAATAAATCATTTGTTATTATTAGTTCATTATTATATATATATTTAAACAAAATTGCAAATATCACTGAAAATTGTATTTTTCATTATTTTGTGCATAAGTTAATTGCAAAGTATCAGGATATAGAAACATATATTTATTCTTTGGATATGAGGCCAGAGAAATGGTTGAGTTAATCTTAAAATTGTAATATACAATCACTCAAGCAGTGTAGTAGCATCTATGTTCTTTTTTATCTGAATTGTTAAAAAAATATTCTGTTAACTTCTATATATTTGCAAATGTACTTATCAAGTCAGAAATAAAACTGCAGGAAAAACTAATTCAAGACTATCGTTTCATGCAAGTCAACTTCTGTATGATACTTTTCAAACCAAGCAATATTCGATAATGTACCGCTTTCGTTTTAAAGACCCAAAATTATTGTTCGATTGTTTGTCGCAGTTTAAAGCTACACAAAGGGCTGTATCTCTTATCTGTCCTCCGAGAAGAATCCAACCCCAATTTTAACCCTGTTAGTCCGTAAACTTACCACTGACCCATCAGGGAACATGGGGATTATAAAAAAATATACCTCAAAATATGCACAGTTACATGGCTTACAACCGTAAATTATTGTTTAAAAGTTGTTATAATTTGTATAAAAAAATATTATCGTTAAAGATGTAAAACCGAGTATCTACATAAATATAATAGTACTGTCTGTTGTACTGCCATATACTTACTTCGCAGGGTGTAGATGAATCTTCACCAAAATTGATGTGGAGGCTCATTAGGTCCGTGCAGGGTACTTAAAAATTTTCAGTTTTGCATTTTGCGGTTTTTATGAGCATTTTTTACCATTACCTCACCTGCTTGGCATGAAGGTTTGTTGGGTCCATGTGGAGATACGTGCAAACATTCTGTTTCGTATTTTATTGTTTTTATGGGCGTTTTTTACAATTATATACAAGGGAAGCAACTTTTCATGTCCTAAGATAACTTTTTATCAGTCGTGAATTTATATAATTTCCGTCCAGCTAGTAGTCAATAAATTCTATTACTCGTGATCGTGGCGTCATCTGTAAACCTACATGCGAACTACGTTTCTTTTTCATTTTCTGGAATAGTGAATAAATGAATAGACATAACAAATTAAGCATAGAAAACAATAATTAAAGTATTTTTTAGGAGGACAGTTGTATCATTTGTATGACAATTATGTTTTCCAAATATATGCTTATTTTTTGCTACAAAATCTTCGGCCAGTAAAATAAACCTAACAATATTAAGGTTGTTATGGACTGTGTAACACTACATATGTATATTGTTACTCAGCAAGTTAGCTAACCTATCTCCTACTAATGAATAGTACCAAGTTGATAAACTTACCTGTACGTTGAATTAAAACTTATTATGGTTTGCAGCAGTTCTAAAACCATTTAAAGGAATAAAAACAAGGAATGCCGTGATTTCGTACTTATTGCCACTTTAGTTTAATATAAACATCATGATAAGCAGCTAATTGTCGTAAAAGCAGTAAAAGTCGTATTACAAACACACTATTGCTGTTATCTTTTAAAGGCTGCCAGTATTGTAATTAAATATTATGTATAGGACAAAACTCTATTAAGAATAGTGATGTACATATTAATACAATTTTCAAAGAAGAAAGGTATGAGTAACTTTACTAACACCGGTAGATCATAAATTCCTGGATAGCACCAGTAGATGTCAAGCGTTCCTATAGAAACACACAACAAACTGTCAGGTATATTTGTCCCATAGATGGTGTTACTGTATCACTGCTTAATAATTAATAAGAGCAGTAAACCGTTACTGTGTTGTTAATACAATACCAGTAAAATAAATGGACATGTACGCTAAATTATAATGTATTTATGAAGGCTGGCAATAATGAATGTAAAATTAGTGTTATATCATCATTTTTATAAAATTAAGTATGTAAATTAAACTACAAACTTCATTTTTAGAAGTAAAAATAATGCACTATAGATAAATGAACTCAGTTAATAACGAGGGGGGGGGACTTTCTCTAATTTGATAATTTCTTAGTACAATATAGCCACTTTATTTTCCTTATGGGTAACTTGGAAGCGCTGGTGGTTTAACTTTTTTCAATATTTGCTTGTAGTGCGGGTAGTCCATGATCTAAACCCTGGTCAAGTCAGATCTCAAGAATACATTTAAATTTTGTTTGACTTGTAAAGAGACTTCAATAATGCTTTGAAGTTTTGCTACACTTACCAGAGAAACTTCAAAAATACTTTCAAGTTTTGTTTCTTTTATCAAATTACTCTGCAAAAACTCTAGGTGGGATCATGACAGTATACACTGGTAAAAACTGTGGTTCTTGGTATACAGGATATTTGAATTTCTATTTCTTCTAATCAGGCAAGATTTTTATATGTTGTTGTCACTTTTTGTTGTGATGTGTTAGAACACAAAATTTTCAAACTTTCAGAAATTACACAAAATATTTTTAAAATGTAACTTTATTCTGAGTAAAATTTTGCTTTACATTGTAAAATAGAAGAGTCTAAACTCTGCCAGTGGTAAGTACAAAACTAATGGGTTTTTTTCCCACTGGAATGAATTTTTGATTTAATCAAATGCAAATCAGATTTTATTTAAAAGAGGAGAGAGATGACACAAAATTATCAAGCATACACACTCAAAACAAACAAATCCAAATACAATGGCAAGGAAATATGATTCTTTCACGTATTTGTAACATTTAGAGACTAACTTGTATCAATCCAATTTCGAATGGTGATGAAATGATGCCTACATTGAAAGCATACACCCTAATTAAACCTCACATATATGTACCTATTATTCACAATAAACTGAGAAAGAGAATAAATTATTTATGAACTAAATTAAGATTTTCATATCACAACCATAGGAATAAAATAGAAAGGCATGAGCAGCTAAAAGACTTTTTTTTTTAAGAGATTGAATATGTAAGGACTGAATGTGTCTCAACTATATAATTACCATATTGTATTTACTTGCTTACTAAGACTGTAAGGAAGTAAAAATAGTTAATCTATATTGTAACACAAGCATTTTAAAATGAACTGTGTATGTCTAGCACCATGGCTCTGTTTTGTATAGTTTAACAGGTAATTTATATGCTTGAGTATGTTTATTGTAAGCATAAGCAAAGCACATCAATTCTTAATATCCCTTAAGTACTATGCCACCAAATAAAACAAAACATAGATTCGGCACTGCCGAAAACAAATCTTTTTTTTTTTTTTCATGCATGTCTGGTTACAGTAACTATTTATAATAAGTATTCTTAAAACAACCAAACCTAATATACTTACTATAACAAATATATATTATACAAAATGATTAAATTTAACTAAAAATAAATGTTGGTACATATGATAAATAACTACATTCATGTCCATTTAACAGACATGCAACAAGCCAATATCTATGTGGATGGAATACTGATTAATTGACAGTTTCTTACTCCTTCTTTTCAACTGATAACAATGGTCCCAGACTAAGCAGGCAAACTGATCAAGGAACTACATTTCTAAAACACAACCTTCTAGCCAAAAATTACACTTCAACAGACTAGTACCTGGAAAGAACAAACTGAATCACAGGTGAAAGATCAGAATATACATGTACAATAAATAGCTTTTAACTTTTAAACATTTTTTTTTTCACTTTACAAGCTTATTGTTTCCAGCAGAATGACACACATGTAATTCTGAAGTGCAGCATAATGAACACCTGTGGCTCCCTTGTCTTTCATTAGCTGCCAATAATGAAAGGTCAGTGTAGAAATTTCTAATTCAAGCATGATTGGCATCTTGCGATAAGAAGACTAGACTATTCGATGAAAGCTAAACTTCTCAAAACCAGTAACTGAAGTTAACTATTCATGTACTTACAAAGCACAAAGATTAATGCCTCCATTTGTGGATGGCAGATACTGCATATTTAATATTCATCCTTTAATAGTAACAACTTATATTTCAGTCTCAAAAGATACACCTTCATTACAGCAGTTTATATCCACATCTCTTTCATCTTCACTGAAAGTTTCTTTTAGAAATAACTGTTGCTGACAGCCTTCCATATCATCTAGAGTAGAAAGGCTATCAGTTCTTTCACTTAAGCCATATTCTAACATTCTGACTGGGTATTTTTCAATTTGATGATAAGGATACTTCAAGACAGGAGAGTCTTCAATGCTGCTTTCTGACATGGACCTAGGGCATTCCTGAATCATGGACTCACCAGCCAAACAACAAGGAGCAAATATATTTTGGAGATAATTATTTGGTTCATCGCTGGCTTCAGTACTGCCAGTTAAATCAGTACCATTAAATTTTCCAGCCCAATTTTCTTTTGGTACTTTGTGTTCTCCTACATCTAAGCCAAAAGTCCAGGAACTACTTGAAGATGTCATACTTCCCTGCCAAGAACCATCAACTTCACCTATCCCTGTTGAAATGAAAGTAGTATTTACTTGTTCTCCTGCCCTTATCGACTGGTCAGTGTATTTAGCACTGATGTGTTCTTGTTGTGCTATATCATACTGCTCCACATCACTTGGAGTAGAGCTAGATAAATCTCTAATACAATCCAAGTTGGTGGTGGTAGTTAACTGAGAGTCAGCTCTCATTTTAGAAGATTCTTCAACATTTGGTTCAAAAGTTTTTTGTTTAAACACCTTCTTTATGATAAGCTCTCTATCAACAGTGGTTGAGCCTTCTGTTAGTTTAAAATTATCAGTTTGTTTATTTACAGAGTCCTGCTCAGAGCATTTGAAAATAGAATTCTTATTTGCAATAGTTGATAATACACATGGAATAACATCACTAATTTCTCCCATAGGTGTATGCTGTATATCCTTCAAGCCACCATTAAGCAAGTCTAATGTTTCAGTGCTACTGATACTTTCATTATCTGAAGCCTTCTCCTCCAGGGGCTTGGAATTAGATCTTCCAGATATCCCATTGTCTAAATATCGTTGGCTGCGCTTTTTGCTTGGAGTACAAGGAGAGGAGCTAGAACCATTTCGATTTCCTGTAGATCCTCTCAAGGCTGACGATGCAGATAAGGGTCTTCCAGCTCTTGGACCAGAACTAGGATATTTGTGATGATTAGTGTTTCCATCTATACTGTCAAAGAATACTGACATTCTAATTGGTGATTTCCTTAAGGTGTGGTCTTTAACTAAATGATCCAACCTATCAATCTCAGTAGTTTCTGCAAAATTATTGAAAAGCATATTGGAATAGAGAAATCTCATAGCAAAAGAAAATTCTTAAATATTAATGAAGTTCTAACATTAAATAATTAACAGCTAAATCAATTGAATTAAGAAAAATGCTTCACTGAACTTAGTCATAAAATTAAATTGAAAATTATAAATATCTTTCATAAATATTTTAATAAGTAAGAAAAAGTGACAGAACTGGTAATATGTGATTAATTAGGTTACCACTAATCTCTCTCATATGCTAATAAGCAAATAAAAGTATTTATAAGTTTGCATATTAGTAAATTAACATGAATTAATAAAACAAACATCATTTCAAGTTGAGATTGAGGAAGAACTTTCAAATGTCCAGTTTTAAGTGATTACTAAGATCACACTGTATTTTCATGCAATAAATATTAAACTATTTTGAGATCTATCAGAATTGCCAGTAAAGATAGTTATAAATCACGAATATTTCTACAGAAAAACAACAATTACACATATTACATAAAAGTTAGTTTCTGATTCTGATAAGTTACGCACCATCTGTTGAGCTGTTAAGTAAAATGCTAGCTTCCATGGTTTGTTTTAGTTTCCACTGAAGCTCCTCCTTCTCCATTGACAATCTTTTATTCACTTTAGATTCTTTCTCATAACTCTCTTTTAGTTTCTGCTGCTCATATGACAGGTGACTGTAATTTAAAAGTTGTAAAAAGACACTAATATAAGCATTATAAAATAAAAAGTGTTCACCAACATGAGAGCTACATTTAATGATATATACAAAAAATTTAAACACAAATATCATAATAGAAGACCTGAAAATACAAACAAACAGTTAAAGTTGTTGTAAGGGAAAATAGAAAAATGTGATCTGTAGTTAAGATTTTGACTCAATGATCTTTACCAGTTTCTAATAAAGATTGATTGGCTGAAATGTTGGCCACATGTTGCTCTTTTCCTTAGGTCAATTTTTCCAGATTTTATCATACTGTAGCTATGTTTTAGAATAAAGATATTTAATATTTAACAATTAGCTACGGTGTTCATTGTACACATCAAGTTTCTCAAATACAATCTTTCCAAGGAAGTAAAATACTTAGAAACAATAAAAAGATTAGAAGAGCTGTCACTGACATGTCTATACCTGCTTTTACCTTGTTATAACAACTGAGAAATGAGGAATATATTAATAAAGAGCTCCATTTTTAGGTGTTACTATACCACCATATTTTTCTTTTTAAAGATAAACATTAGAATTCCTCTGATATAAGCTTTAGCATACCAACTACAATGCAGCAAGTGAGTGTAAAAATGATATAATCCCACTTATGGTTGATTCGACTAAGCTAGTCTGCTAAAAAAAATACTTTATCAGTTACTCTTTACAGCAAACAAAGTGTAGGTGAAATTTTACAAAGATCATTATAAACTATTTGAAAAAGAAATGTAAAAGTTATTAGCAGTTTCATTATTGGGTTTCTGAAATTTAATGGACTGCAACTGCCTGTTGAAAGAAAAGGAGACAACATTTCAGCTTCTATACCTACAGAAGGCTTCAGTATAAAAGTTGAAATCTTGTCTCCTTTTCTTTCAACAAGCACTTAAAGTCCACTGAAATTCTCAATCCTAGTATGTCTGATGTTTTATTATCATATTTCACCACACTTTTCAAAGTTTCTTTTTAGTTCATATGTGGTATTACAAAATAAAAAAAACTCACTCACCGTTCTAGCTCGACTTTTTCTTTCACCCGAGCTTGTAGGTCTTCATTCCGTGCTTTTAATTTCTCGACTTGTTCTTTAGCTAAAGGTAACTCTTCCAGCTGATAAAATAAAATAAAACTTAAATACAGATAGGATAAAATACCACATGGGCTTTTACAGGTAGAAAAAAATTAAATGTTGATATCTTGCTTTGCAGCCAACATTTTAATGAAATTAAAAATATTTTATATATATATTAGTAAATGTAAAGCAGAGTGAGCCAAAACTTAATCATTTGAATCCAAATTGCACTACTGTGTAACAATTAAACTAAGGTTTTCCATTACCTAAAGCTTTCTTTCATTTGAAGTACCACAATCATTTAAATTATAAATAACTAGTTTTGCTTACTTAAAAACAAAATACTGTTGCGTCAGCGAGGTCACGTGACCAGTGTCACGCTCCCTGCTTTCTGGAAATATCTTGTACCTTCGTGAATTGTCGGGAGATTACTAGATATAGGGTAGTCTGGTATATATAAG